TAATGGTGGGTGTAGTAAAATTGCACTACCAGCGGGAGGGGATTAAAGTATAGGTCCAATTTCTACAGTGAAATGAAAATCAATATAACAAAACACTACTGTTTTACTGTTTTTATAGTCTACACATTATTAATTTCATAAACATAATTTGGTATTTGCATAGACCCTCATAGAACATTAGCATTTGCAAGCCTATGGAGAAAATACATAACACACAGTTATTTGCATAGATTAAATTTAGGGAATGAATAATGGGGCAGCACTTTATTATTAATAAAAAATAGTAAGTAGATTTTTTTTCTTTATTGATTCTATCATTTTAAGTCATTTTTTATATTTTATTCATGATAAAGTGCTGACCCTCTCACATTATTTATTGCATAAACTTAATCTATGCAAATAACTTTTAGGTCTGAAAGAGGAACTTCACCCTTCTGTGTTCATTTTTTGTTTCTTTCCCCCCTACATGGCTTCCTGCGTTATCCTCAAAACACATTCTCACATGTCCAGCAAATCTAGTGTTGTCCTGCTGTAATTTTTTTCCTTACATTATCGAGAGTTGGGTATCTCTTTCGGGTTCTTGCAGCCAGCCCCCTGATGAAGCGCCGCGGCGCATAAGCAATGTCCTGTAGATTGCTCTGAAGCCTCCTGGTATGCATGAAGTTACAATTCTAGGAGGCTGCAGGCAATTAGAGGTACGCTATTCTTGCCTAGACAGGAAAGGCGGAAGCATGGACCATACACAACAAAAGTTCACACAGTGGGATCTGGGTGAAGGGGCTCCAACAACATGCTTTTCTATGGCAGTGGTTGGCATTCATCTACATGGTAGTGACTTCCATTGCTAGCAGCAGTGTAAAATGCCCAAGATGGTGGAGTCATCACTGAAGGGAGAATAGGGGAGGTGCAGGCCCTCACGATGAGTTATAGGAGGAGAGAGTACACCATGCACCTCTCTCTCACCTTCCCAGGATAAACTTATCGCTTTAGTTTCTAGCTCAGAGAAGTAACGACACTGCTTTTCCCCGACATGCTGGCTATCTCAGAGATTTTCACAGATTCAGCAATGATCCAGCAATGTTAAAATGTTGACACTGCTGCAACAAGTTCCCAGATATGCTGATGTGTGATGAAAGTCAAAATTGCTGCTGAATTTCTGTCTCATTAGATCATTTCCTCCCCTTGGCCTGCTGATTGGATAATGCAGGAACATCCCTGTACTCTCTAATCGTGTAATCATGTTCCCTGTAATAGGATGGAACCACCTTATAGGGCATATAAAGACCTGATTGGCTCCTAGTGCTGACCTTCTGATTGCTGGTATCAAGACAGATTTACCTATGTTTATGTAACACATAATTCATTATTTTCAATTAATATGTAACTGCATTCAGTTGTTTTTTTTAGACATCTAAAATCAAGTTCAGCTTTAACTGTGGATTAACCAAAAACATAAAGGTAGTGCTGGGCTTTTTTTATTAGAAAAAACAGCATACTGTGTGAATATAGTGACAATAAGGTGCCCCGTAAATAATTTTTTTTAATAAAATTAAAATCTTATGCAAACACAAATGTAATTTGCCTTTAACCTTCACTTTCATATGTACATTAAAAATCTCAAAAGTAGATCTATGTAAGTGATCATGACTTAAGGGAAACCTATACTAAGAAAAAATATGTTGGCTGCTGCCACTGAGCTTCTTCTCTTCTTTCGAATTATTGTGCATGTGAGCAATATTTAAGTTATGTGAAATGAACATTTTGATGGGAACATTTTAGGGTCAGCAAAGTGAACACATTCTGCTGTGTTGTCTAATTAGAAAACCCACAGTGCTATGTGAATTTTACATCATGGATGTATCATGTATTAAAGGAGAATTATGGCGAGAGTGAAATGCACGCATACCAATAGTTATAATCAACGTGCGACACTGCAGCTGTATAGGCTCTAAAAATTGAGAACTGAGCAATAACAAACCGCTGATCGCTCAGTTCCCGATCTCAGTGGACACAGCTAGCTCTGGCTCCAGAGAGGCAGAGCCAGCAGTCAATCAGGCAGGGGGGTGGATCCTGACAGTATTGTCAGGATCTTTCCTGGCTGAAGCACGGCTCTTCACTGTCAGCATATAGTGATCAATAGCCTACTATTTGCTGAGTTTTGAGTCAGAGGAGGACATTGGTAAATGTCCTCTTGTGACACAAAAGAGAACTAAAGCCAATAAAAGATCTGGTCATAGTTCCCTTTTAAAGTAGTTGAGGAGCCTAAAGGTGCAATAAGGAGCACATTCAAATGGGTTAATGTGTTTTAGTGCATTAGGGAGCACATTCAAAGTCATGCACATCAACGCGCTTTGTGTTAATGTACAACAAAAGTGTGAATCCAGCCTTCACTTTACTGTGACTTCACACTGAGTAGCTCAAGTTAGATTTGTGTTACCCAGTATGGTTCTTGGGGACTTCTTACGTAATTGTCATGATCAGATCTGCTACTTTCAAATAAAAACTGGAATGCAATTTAAATCTAAACTTGCTTATCTAAGGCGGGCATATAGATATTGCTGGGCTGGCCTGCAACCCCCTATGAACTGAAGTAATTAAAATAAGCATGATGACATTTTTCTGACAAGGTTATTAAATGTGAACCCTACACAACAGTGGCTCTCTGCAATATATTTCACACAAGCAAATTCGGGGAAAATATGTTCAGTGACTTTCATAGGTATGCATATAAAAGAAATCACTGTAATATTAATAATCTTGCCTAAATGGATTAACATTTTGAAAGTCTTATTTTTGTTCATGGGGGCATCCCCAGATGGTCATTAAGTATGCAAACTCTTGCTTAGTTGTGTCACTGTAGTCATGCATGACTGCAGTGATGCAGTCATGCCTTGCTGACCCCCTGGC